CCGCTGTACGTCGTGGTGCCCGTCACGGTCCTCTACGTGCTCATCTTCGTGACGGGGGTGGCCGGCAACATCGTGACCGTGGTGGTCATCTCGCGATGCAGGTGCATGCACACGCCCACCAACTACTACCTGGTGAGTCCACGGCCACGTACACTAAGGGGGCCGTCGTGACTTATTTACGAAGTGGGGTACCTTTTTACGGCCCTGCGTATGCGAGTGCGGGTTCAGGGTTGAAAGTAGAAGCTTTTCAGGTGCCATGATAAAGTTACCCCACCCCCACCCGTATAAATGTTGTCTGCGGGTATTCAATTATCACGATACCTCCCAAACACTTCCATTTGAAACGCTAAGTTCAAAAATAAGAGGGATACTTTTATCACGGCACCATATTTGAACTCGCCGCCGTAAACAGTAGTGTTTGGGATGACATGATAATTGTTGTGTATCCCTGTAGATAACATTTAAACGGGTGGGGTAACTTTCTCATGGCACCTAAAAAGCTTCTACTTTCAACCAACTCGTACACATGGCCGTCAAAAAAGTACCCCACCTTTCGAAAATGAAAATTTATGTACGACCCCCTTCTATACCATCTGCTCACCACCCGCAGATGAGCCTGGCGGTGAGCGACCTGCTGCTCCTGTTGAGCGGGCTGCCCCAGGAGGTGTACTCCATCTGGATTCACTTCCCCTACCCGTTCGGCGAGGCCTTCTGCGTGCTGCGCGGGCTCGCCGCCGAGACCTCGGCCAACGCGTCCGTGCTCACCATCATGGCGTTCACCGTTGAGCGCTACCTCGCCATCTGCAAGCCGTTCGCGCACGCCTCGCGCGCGCGCTCGCCCTCCCGCTCCAGCAGGGTCTTCAAGATGATCGCGGCCGTGTGGGTGATCGCGCTGAGCTGTGCGTCCGTGCAGGTGCGTATGAGAGGGGACCCCAAAGGTAGGATACCCACCTAGGGGGGACCCCAAGGGAAGATCCCGCCAAGGGGGGACCCAAAGGGGAACCCCGCAAGGAGGACAACACAAGGAGCACCCCAAGGGAGGACAAGCGGTAACCACAAGGGCGAACCCCAAGGAGGAACACCCCGGAACACCCCAAAGGAGGACCCCAAGGGAGGAGACCAACAAGAGAGCCCAAAGAGTGGGCCGCAAGGGCAAGGGGCGCCGTCCCTTCCTTGTTATTTTCCTTTTCTGCTTTTCTCTTCCTCTTTTCCTTTCGAAACTGCCCAGTCTAATCACGAAACGTTTGCGCAGGCGATGCAGTTCGGGCTGACGATGCACGGCGACCTGGCCATGTGCGAGCCGGTGCGCGTGCTGCTGCAGCACTCGTTCGAGGCCGCCTCCGTCGTCTTCTTCGTGGCGCCCATGACCCTCATGTGCGTGCTGTACGCGCTCATCGCGCGCCGGCTGCACTGGCAGCGCAAGGACGCCCTGGGGCACAGCACGTCCTCCCTGCGACACGTCATGGCCAAGCGCAGGGTCATCAAGATGCTGGGTGAGTGGGCCGGTGCGCAGGTGCGGTAAGCAGGTGCGGTGAGCAGGTGCGGTGAGCAGGTGCGGTGAGCAGTCGTCTGATTCAGAAGATCGTTCAAGAGGGACTTTACTATAGCTCCCGTATAGCTCCGTCCTTGTTGTACTCATGGGACAGGTATAGGAGAGACCCTCTTGAACGATCTTCTGAATCAGACGGCAGGTGCGGTGAGCAGGTGTGGCGCGCAGGTGTTAGATAGGTACGGTGAGCACCGTTAGAAAGGTGCGGTGAGCACCGTTAGAAAGGTGCGGTGAGCACCGTTAGAAAGGTGCGGTGAGCACCGTCAACAGGTGCGGTGAGCACCCTTGTCAGGTGCAGTGAGCACCGTGAGCACAGCAGTGCTCAGTGAGCAGTGCGGTGGGTGTACGCTATGGATCGTTCAGGAAGTGCGTCCGTTTGTCTCGCAACGGGGATTTGCGGCAGCTCGGCGCCTGCGAGGCTCGGGATAGGCCACCCCGCAGTACACTCATGTGTCGCAGGCGAGATATTGCCTAACATGACAGGCGCTATGAATGCGGTGCACAAGGACCGAGCGCAGCTGCGGTGAGCAGGAGCGGTGAGCACCGTGAGTAGTGGCGGAGCGTCACAGATCGTCCAGAAAGTGCTTCCGTTTGTCTCGCAACCGTTCGGGAGGTTTGCGGCAGCTCGTCGCCTGCGAGACTCGGGGTAGGCCACCCCGCAGTACACGCATGCGTCGCAGGCGAGATGTTGCCTAACCGACAGGCGCTATGAGAGCTCGTCGACGCTGAACTTCGGCAGGTTCGTAAACGGTGAATGACGCGCGCGTGCTTTGTGGATGACCCCCTATCGCGTACACCAAGGTCGCGTAGTCGTCGCCGCATAGACGCTCCTGACCCGCTTCTCGTGTATTTCTCGCTCGCCGGCCGAGCGGTTCAGAGTTCAGAGAGGTTTGCGCGGCGCAGGCAGCGACCGTCTCATTGCCGTTTTGCGACTGTTCCCACGGGCCGGCTGGATCAGTCGGGCAGGCGGCCGTCTTCTTGGAGAGGCCCCGCTCCGCGGCCGCCGTGTCCGCTCCACGCACCACCACCACCCCCTGCCCTTCCCGCGCTACTCGAGCCAAGTCCGGGGCGAGTACACGGGTCCTCACCTCACCCCAAATATGACACTGTACAGAAATAAAATAAAGATCAAATCGTACGGAAACGTTCCCTGTAAAAGAAAATCGCAACTCTTCACTCAAAAAACAAAATGACACAACAAGTGCCGGTTTTCGGAAACTTGACAGGATTCAGTGCATAAAGCAGGTGCGCTGTTTAATCCCCCCTCCCCCCGGGACGCCAAACTTGCGACGCCCAAATGTTTTTTTTTTTTGCGAAAACTTTGCATTTATTCTTTTTATCGCGCGACATGGTGGCCGTCGGTAGGCCGGTCCCCTCCCTCCCGGTCCCTTCGCATGGTCACAACGACTCGCACGCTTGCCACGGCGGCCGATGGTGCTTTATACGCGTGCCGCACTTGGCGGCATGTCTCGTCCGCATCCCCGGTCTTGTTGTTGTTTGGACGAGTGCGCCACGGTGCCGCTGCCCTTGAGGCGGCCGCCCCTAGTAGAGGGAGTGGGGGGGGGGGTCCGGTTTCAATTTCTCTTCGAAATACACAGTTTTCCGCGGCGACCAGGAAGGTGTGTGTGTGTGTGTGTGTGTGTGTGGCTCCGGAGAGAGGCGCGCGGACAAGACAACGTAATGTGTGCGACAATGTATAAACATTTATACGGGAGGGGGAGGGACGAAAGAATGGGGGGGGGGGGGAGGTCGCTTGACGCGCTGTCCACCGCTACACCGTCGAGCACTTCGCGAGGGGAGAGGCGAGCTAGGGGAGCTAGGCGCACATAAGAAGAGGAGGCGCGCACCCCAGAATAGGAGATTCAAAGCAGAGCCTTGCGGCGGGGAGTTTACGCCCCACTACTGGGGCGCCGATAACTGGCAGGGCCACCAGAGCCACAGGCCAGCCGGCTAGCCACAGCAGCAGCGGCTGTTGGCCGACACGCACATTTTAATTTCTCTTTAACGTACATTTATAAAATGTATCACACTCTGAAACGTATTACACTTTTCTGAAATTTATTACACTTTTCTGAAATGTATTGGACTCTTCTGAAATGTATTACACTTTTCTGAAATGTATTACAGGTTTCTGAAATGTGTTACACTTTTCTGAAATGTGTTACACTTTTCTGAAATGTTTCACACGTTTCTGAAATGTATTTACACTTTTCTGAAATTTATTACACGTTTATAAAACGTGTAACATTTTCTCTAAAATGTATGACATCGTTGTAGCCGCGGTGGTGGCCGCCTTCTTCCTGTGCTGGGCGCCCTTCCACGCGCAGCGGCTCGTGGCCACCTACCTGACGCGAAACGTGGAGACGCACCTCACCCTGTACAAGATCGCGACCTACGTGTCCGGGGTGCTGCACTTCGTGTCGGCCACCGTCAACCCCATCCTGTACCAGGCCATGAGCAGGAAGTTCCGGAAGGCGGGAAAAGTACGTCAGCTACAACAGCTTTTCTCTTGGAGAAATATACTTCAAAAAGAAAACTATTTTTAAAAACTTTGTGAAAAAACATTTTTGAAAAAAACCTTTGTGGCCAGGACACCCTCGCGAGCATCCTGCCCTCGCTGGAGTGGTCCAAGCGGAGGCGGGAGCGGCGGCAGCACCCTCACGGCCCCCACTGCGGCTCCGGCGGTGGGGGCCAGTGCAGGGGCACGGGTTACCGACATCACCACCACCATCACCACCGCCACCGCCACCCACCCCCGCTCTCTGGAGGTGAGTGCACCGCGACCGCGTTCACGATTAGACACTCCAATTTTTTAATGCAAATTTTGAAAGAAAATTTATGTAAATTTGGCGTTGTTGTAAACAATATTTTTTAAATTTAATCTTGTGAGTCTTATTTTACTTTTGTTTTCGAAAAACAATACCCAAATCAGAATCGTCCTCATCGTCATCTTCGACGTCCTCGTCGTCGTCCTCCTCCTCCGAGGAGGCCGAGATGGGCCCCCCTCTGCACGTGTCCTTCACCACGAGTGGACACCTGGGACACCTGCCCGCCAGCCGCAGCCCCACTAGGCCGTCGGCGCCCTCGCGCCCCGGGGGGCTGCGCCGCACCCGCACCAGGCGCACCGGCCTCCTGTCGCCCGGGCTCAGCCCCGACCGCCCCGACGTGGTCCTGGGGGTCGGCCGGGCCGCCGGGCTGGGCGCCAGCGTGGGGGCCGTGTCCGGGGCGCTGCACGACGCGGGCCTCGGCCTTGGCGGAGGAGGAGGGGGAGGCCAGGGTGAGCTGCGCGAGCTACGCGAGCAGCCCCCACCCGAGGGCAGCAGCGCCCCGCTGGTCCAGCCGCAGGGGGTAGAGGCGCCCTG